TCCTCGCTCGACTCCTCTCTCTTTTCCCCCATTTTGCCGAGAGATTTAAGATTTTGGCAAGAGATTTCAGTCGATCCATCTATTTGGAAGTGTTTGGTGGCTAAAACCTAGATCCAGATTGAATATGCAAGTATTGCTGGTAAAAATGTAGATCCACTGTTATTGTGATATGTTTGAAGCATCCAGAGGGTTTTCTTTTCCATTCCTCATCCCTTCCTTTCTTTGAACTGTGTTTATTCGTATCAACCGAAATTTTTTTTTCGTGTTTTGTTCGTATGGTCTCCATGATATTTAAAGTTATTGATTCTTTTAGGACCATACTATTTTTATCAACCGAAGATTTTGATGCAATGCTATGTTCCCTGCGATTTTGTATTCAAGTTGCTTTATATTTTAGAGGTATCTTTTAGTTCATTTTTTTATGAAAAAGCTTTTGGTGGGAGTGGTTCATATCTTTGGTATTCTTTGAGCCATGTTTTCTGACTTTCTTCAACATGTCACATAATTTCTTAGAAGTTGCCAGTTCTGTTTTTGGGACCATGCTATTTTTATTATGAAGATTTACGTACATATCACTTAATTCCTATGTATTTACATATATAGCACCTAAACTTCGATTTTTACATATATGCCATCTTACCTATGCATTAGAAGGTATATTTTAATTTTTTAAAAGTAAAAAAAGTTATAGTTTTTAATATAGTTATAGTAAAAATAGTTATAGTTTTTATGTGATTTGAAAGATTTGGATGGTATAAATGTAAAAAATAAGGTTTTGGAATTAGATATGTAAATATATAATAATATGGTGGTAGGTATGTTAATGTCCTTTTTATTATTCATCTTGTTTGTGGTGTAGACGAGTTGAGCCGAGCTTAATATTTAAACAAGTGGATTTGATTGAGACGAGATTATTATGATAGAATTGGTTAAAGAAACAATTCTGTTGTGCCGATGTTTGTTCACAGATTTTTTCACAACTGAATGGGTAAAAAAGCTTGCATTATGTTGATGACTGCAATTTTCCACGATTGTTGGATGGATAGTTGGCTGTAAAGAACATCGAGACACAAATATATTATTTTGTTCAACAACATGAATTTGCTTGCAAATTAAAATAAGTAGGAAAAAGAAGCAAGAAACATAGAACTACAAAAATTTTATTGTTATTTCTTACATATTTGGCTTGGCAACAATGAAAGTTTGGGTGATAAACATTTTTTGACTCTCACGTTATGTTTATGCAAATAGTTTGCACTAATTCAATGAATATTCTTTTACCGAGATGGTGTAAGCATGTTTACTTTAATGAAGGTGTTACTATTTATGCAACTCAGCATTTTTTTGCTTCGATGAGACTCCTTTCTTTACTTGCATGAAAGAAAATTGACTATCTGATTATGGTAGATACAATACATTATTGTTGAAGCAAGTTTTTCCAAGTAGATTTTTTAACAAGCTATGATGATGCCCTTTGGGTTGTTGGTTTAGAATTGGAAAGTTGGGTGAAGAAAATATGTTTTATGGTTTATGGTCCTTTGGGTTATCTTTGCTAGCATTGGTTTAGAATTTCTAATATGCTCTATGTGTTCCAAATTTCAATTGGTTTTTACTCAAATACGGTGGTACTATAATAATAAAGAAAAAGAAAAAGAAAAGGTTTCATAAATGATGGTTATATGAAAAACACATTTATGTTTCACCCATAGACCAATATATATTTTAATTCATTATCTTTTTTGAATTTTGTTTACATGTGCATATTTCAAATTCTAAGTGCCTCATTTTCAGTCATAGTGTCATCTAACAATCCGTTGATATGACAGTAAAAAAATAAGTAAATCTAAAGACTCTGGTTCATCGGCTATGTGAGATAGAGAGACTAATATTTTTTGTGATCTATGTGTAAGGGAGGTCGAATTGGGAAATCGACCCACAACTTTTTTTAATAAGAATGATTGGCATAATATCACAATTAAATTCAAAGAAATAACTGGAATAGATTACGATAGGATGAAACTAAAGAACAAATGAGACCAATTAAAAAGGGACTGAAAACTTTGAAAAGAGCTTAAAAGAGGATCAACTGGATTGATATGAGATCTAGTAAAATGAACAATTGATGCACCTGAGGAATGGTGGACAGAAAAGTTAGCAGTAATAACATCACTATTTCAAGTAAATTTTTGAGACATATTTTTGGAATATTGATTAGAATTTTTTTTGTGATTACAGGTAGTGCCAGCGGCAAAAAAATTAAAATTTACTGGAATTGAACCAGCTTTGGAGGAGAAGTTGGATGACATGTTTACTGGTGTTGTAGCAACATGAACTCATTCTTTCACCCCTAATGAGCAGGGTGTTGCAAACCTGGCAGAGGATATAGAGACAAAGCATATAGGTGATTCAGGAGAATGTCTCAGCCAAATCCACACAGATATCCAATCCACTGATGGAACAAAGCGCCCCCGACCTATAAAAAATAAAAAAAGGCTTTGCATTTGTTAGAGGTTCTATTGTGGCATTGATTGAAATTTCCAAAAATAATTCCAAAACTGCGAAGGACAGCACAATCCATGAAGCACATGAGTGTGTTAAGATCCTTAACACATATCATGGTATTAAGGAAGACCAGGATATGTATGTTAAGTATGTCAAGTTGCTAGGGAACTCTACCCGGAGGCAGTTCTTTCAGACTTTGGAGCTAGAATTTCGTCTTCCCTACTTGCACTCTTTTATGAAAGATTGAATGTTATTTATGTAACTTCATTGACTATTCGTTTGATGGACTCTTTATGTCTTATTTGCTATTTATGTGATGAACTCGTTATATGTATTGTATTTTTTTCAACCTTAAATATGTTAGCTACATATCGAACATTGATGTTTAGATATGCAAATATCAATGAAATGTGCGACATGTATGTAACTTTCTCTATATTTTCATTGCATGCAGTTAAATTTACATGCATGTACTCTTTGTATAGTTGTCATTTTCTATATGTTCGCTGATATTACATCATTATTTGTTATCTAGTTTAAAAGTCTACCTTTTTTCCAGATTTTATATTATGAAGGAAGGACAAATTAATCAAATCCGCATTGTTGCTCTCACCCTTACGTTGTTATACCATTACTACGACGCATATGTTAATCGAAACTCATGCATGACGTCCATCAATATTAGAGATAGATGGATCAAAGAGATATTAAGTTTTTGAAGGTTGGAAGTTGTGTTCGTGTGTATTTAACTAATGAGTATAGAACTTTGGTGCTTATGTGATAATAGTGTTATTTTAGAGTGCTATGTGCAAAAATATAAATATAAATGTGATATTAAAGAGTTGAGTGCTATGTGCGACAATATAAATGTTTAGGTGTCAGATATGTAAATGCATTAGAATTATGTGTTATTTATATAAACAAAGCTTCTTGGATGAATTGACTATATGGTATTGGAGTATGATTGTTGGATGAATGTTTATGTTTTTGTTGTTGACACCCGTTGCTTCCACTTTCCTGTTGTTGTAAAGCAGGATTTCAGACACCACCTGTATATATCAATTAATAATTTTGTTTACACCACCTGTATATATCAAATTTTGGGTGTTAAATTTATAAATACATAAGAATTGTGGAGGGATGAAAGTGCTATCTACTAGAGTTGCTATGGGAAGTAAATTTTGTTTACACCACAATATGTTTCCCCCTCTCCCTTCTCCCACATTCCTCCTGCAAGACTGTACTGTTAAGCTAAATTATGAGTCATACATTTTTTTAAATTTGAGCACTAATGTACTGTTAAGCTTAATTATGAACGAAGCAGAATTTTTTTGTAAAATGCTGAATCTACGGTTTGTTTTATGGAATCATGAGTATCATAGAGACATGTGATGCTTATATTAGAGTTTATATTAACAGATTTGAGCATATTTTATAATTAATGTGGATGTAGCTTTATGATGGTTAATAACTTCACATCTTATATGATGGATAACGGTGGAGCAGTTTGAACGACCACGTAAATTTGTTGTTGGCAATCACTGTCTCCACACTTGGGTAAGTTTACTTTTTATATTCCCTCAATTTTTAGACTTATCTATTTTATTTTTAATAACTGCAGAACGATGAGTTCCGTAAATTCAGGGAAGTCCGAGAAAGTGATGTGTCGTTGCGGACTGCCGTCATTGCTATTCATGTCACGGCAGACACATAACTTTGGAAGACAATTTTACATGTGCCTGCGGTGAGGACAAGGACTGAAAGATTGCAAATTCTTCAGGTGGGCTGACAATGCAACTATTTCTACGATATCTCAATTGGACACAGCTGCTAGGAGTTTGATAGTACAACAACGGGAGACCACTAGTTCTTCCGTATCTACCGCACCCGAGTCAGACAGATTTGCTCGGGGTTTTGAGGTATCAGAACCGGGCAACATTCGTCTTGATGTGATTTTACATTTTAAAGTCAATATTGTCATATTTTTCCTTGTAATTTTAACATGTTATTTTTTCTTTTTTTTTGTCTTATTATAATCCATATTAGTGTGTGAATGTGTAATGAACTTTCATATATGTCACTGTGCTTATTTGATGTAATCAAAACTTTTTTGAGTTATATAAATATTATTAAACTTTTTTGCATTTTCGTTTTTTGACATTTGAGAAAATAACATTCTGCTACATATATTATTCATTTAACTAAAAAAACTTCCAAATAAGCTGTTTACAAAACGCACTAACCAAACAGTTAAACAACTTATTCAGAACATGACCAAAATGATCAATTTTCCAGAATCAACTGTTTTCAGACGCACTAACCAAACAGTCAGACAGCTTATCCGGATCAGCTGGTCATCACTAGATTATCAGGATAAACTGCTTATTAGCAGAAACTGAATAAGTTGCATCTGCCCTAAACCGGCCGTGTAAGTGCCAAAATTTTATTATTATCATCCATTGAATTGAATGCGAATATGGGGTTATAAAAAATGGGCATCCTCGATAGCACCACAGTCATTCCCAACCCTGAGCCGCGCCAAATACTGAACTACGGTTTTTCTCTTTGCTGATAACATCACTCACAAATCATTGGTAGCACAAAAGCTTCGGACGATTCCTGAGTTGTGCTCTCTAAGATTTCACGGTTTCAGCTCCAATTGGTATTTTTTGAGTGGTTGCAGTCTGATTTCATTTCCTCCGCTTTCGTTATTTTTGAACAAATCATTACTTCCATTGAATTATAATTTAGGCATTATTAGGAGGATTTACATTCATGCAACTCAATATGATTTCGATTTTGAAATTTGGTGACCTAATGATATTCCTGATTACTTTCTTATGCCTTGGGTATAGAGATGGCGGAGGAGAATCCATCCAACTTAAAGGAGGAGATTCCCGAGGTAGTTTCTTTGTCTTCTTAATTAGTTTTGGATTTTGAGGTATCAGAACCGGGCAACATTTATCGTGATGTGATTTTACATTTTAAAGTCAATATTGTCATATTTTTCCTTGTAATTTTAACATGTTATTTTTTTTTTTTGGGTCTTATTATAATCCATATTAGTGTGTGAATGTGTAATGAACTTTCATATATGTCACTGTGCTTATTTGATGTAATCAAAACTTTTTTGAGTTATATAAATATTATTAAACTTTTTTGCATTTTCGTTTTTTGACATTTGAGAAAATAACATTCTGCTACATATATTATTCATTTAACTAAAAAAACTTCCAAATAAGCTGTTTACAAAACGCACTAACCAAACAGTTAAACAACTTATTCAGAACATGACCAAAATGATCAATTTTCCAGAATCAACTGTTTTCAGACGCACTAACCAAACAGTCAGACAGCTTATCCGGATCAGCTGGTCATCACTAGATTATCAGGATAAACTGCTTATTAGCAGAAACTGAATAAGTTGCATCTGCCCTAAACCGGCCGTGTAAGTGCCAAAATTTTATTATTATCATCCATTGAATTGAATGCGAATATGGGGTTATAAAAAATGGGCATCCTCGATAGCACCACAGTCATTCCCAACCCTGAGCCGCGCCAAATACTGAACTACGGTTTTTCTCTTTGCTGATAACATCACTCACAAATCATTGGTAGCACAAAAGCTTCGGACGATTCCTGAGTTGTGCTCTCTAAGATTTCACGGTTTCAGCTCCAATTGGTATTTTTTGAGTGGTTGCAGTCTGATTTCATTTCCTCCGCTTTCGTTATTTTTGAACAAATCATTACTTCCATTGAATTATAATTTAGGCATTATTAGGAGGATTTACATTCATGCAACTCAATATGATTTCGATTTTGAAATTTGGTGACCTAATGATATTCCTGATTACTTTCTTATGCCTTGGGTATAGAGATGGCGGAGGAGAATCCATCCAACTTAAAGGAGGAGATTCCCGAGGTAGTTTCTTTGTCTTCTTAATTAGTTTTGGATTAATTCGTCTTGGATTTTAACTAGATATACATTTTACGCCTTCCCCTTGTAATCTCTGGGCGGATTGTAATAAACTGCTGACCGCCAGTTATCTAGCAAACGTTAAAAGGAGCACTAAATCCTAGCGTAGAAATATTATTTGTACATTCTTTTGCCGCAGCTTGTTCCGTTCGATCCATCTAGGAAAAAGAAGAAGAAGAAGGTGGTAATCCGAGATCCTAATGAGGAGGCGGACAAGCTAGCTGAGAACACTGAAAATTTATCAGGTTTTTCTATGGAGTGCATTCAGCTACAGCGTTGTTTTCATTCAAATTTAAAATAATTTGTCATGATATAAATGTGCACTGATATGATGGTACTTCTGCAGTTGCTGATACACCGGAGCCTAACTTTGTTGGTATGAAGAAGAAGAAGAAGAAACAGGTAGTTTTAGTTAAAGTTCACGCTTGATAAGAAATGAACATAAGTAAAGCTGAAGTATGTGCTAACTCTACAGAGATTGCATCTTAGGTGGAAACCGACTTCTTAATTGAAGACAAGGAGAACTTTGATGATGGGGAGGATCAACAATGTAACGATTTGAATTTCCGGTTAATGAATGCCCTTTTTGTAATATGGAGATTTTCAAAATTATAACAGGAGATCTATTATTGTTTTGGTCTATCGTTTTCAATCATCACATATTGGGCTGTACAGACGTCTGTACTTACTTCATCTTCCTTTGTGTTTCTCAGATGATCAAATTGGAGATGATGAAGAAGGTGAGGGAATTGTTCTTGAAAGTGCAAGATATCCTTGGGAAGGCACGGATCGAGATTATAAATATGATGAGGTGATTGGCCTTTTCTTGCTTCACTTTCATTGTCGTGTTGTTATTTATTTGGGGCATTACCATACTTACCTCTCAATTCCTATGTATTTACATATCTAACATCTAAATTTCGTTTACATTCATACCACCGAAATCTTTCATATCACATAAACAAGAGCACTATTTTAGCTTTTAAAAAGTGAAATACACCTTTTCATGCATAGTTAAGGTGGTATGTAAGTAAAAATTGAAGTTTAGGTGTTAGATATGTAAAAGCACTGGAATATAGTGGTACCTATGTAAATCTTCCTTTTTATTTTTGGATTGGTTTTTGGGTCAAAAACAATTTTTGATCTTGCATTTTATTGTTCCTAGACATCAAATAGTAATTACATCGGCTCCTGAAATGATATTCTCCAATTTTTAAATATTTTTGAGTTAATATTATGTGATTATAGTCTATCAAAGGAGGGAAAATGGCGTTAAATGGCATAATCTTGTGGCAGTTTTACATATTCAATTTTCTCAACATTTGGTAGGAATTCAATGAATTTCGCCTTTTTATTCTTTTGAACTAGATAATACAAGAGTTAACATTGCATTATTCAGTTAGAGAATTGTTGTTCCGTTGCCTCTGTTTGTGCACTTGCATTTGTGCAGTTTATAAGAATCTTTATAATATCTCTTGAAAATTGTTCAATACAGCATGTTTTGAGGTTTGATTAGGTGCTTGTCTTATGCCTAAAAGAATCCATCCCTTGATTTTTAGTTTGCATGATTGTATGTTTAACTAGTGCTATTGTCAACTTCCTGGAGTGCAATTAAGTTTTTGTTGTCTTTTACCTTTATGCCTCTTTCTTTTATCCACACATAATTATATAGTGGTTTTATTGAGACGGTTGATGTTTATTTCGTAGCTTTTGGATAGAGTGTTCAATATCTTGCGAGAAAATAATCCTGAACTTGCTGGAGACCGGCGTCGAACAGTTATGAGGCCACCACAGGTTCTTAGGGAAGGAACGAAGAAGACAATACTTGTGAACTTGATTGATCTGTGCAAGACGTAAGGTTCAGCTTTTTATGAAATAATATGAATTACCTATTTTAAAGTCTTTACTCAGACAGCTATTTCCGGACTTCTTCCATTAAGAACAAACTGCCATTAATTTTTGTCAAAGGTTGCCGTGTTATAATAATGTTTCATATTTTCTTGGAATAATTACATGCATATCACTCAAAATTTTGCTATTTACAAAAGTATCACCCAATTGGTGCATTTATGTGTGCCATGATCAAACCATTGAGAATTTTATAAAATGAAAATATCGGTTAGACTTTTGTTTAGTTTTGATAGTTTAGTGAGAATTTGAATATCGGATGAAAAATGGTTCTAGTCTTGTAAATAGCAACGTTCAAGTGCTATGTATGTAATTGCCCCTTTTTTCCTGCTTGTATTGGTTCACTTAAATTCACAACTTTCGTTTTGATAGAAGTAATGCTTTAGACTGCTGGTAATGGTTTGTTATAATTTTCACATTAAACCAGCAGAATATCTAAATATCAGTTTCCTAGAAGATATATGTCATGCTGGAATTGTTTCTACAACATTCAGAACAATCTCTTTGAATGTCATTTTGTAACGCATATTCAACATTTGAAACAATATCTTTGAACATCATCTTTTCATTATACGCATGAAGCTTAATCTAAACTTTAGGTAATGCCATCTTATTTTTATGAATATATAAATAACTACGGCTTCCTTATGTGATAAGCATATTTCTGATGGATGTTCCATTAGATTATATAGGCATCTTTTTTAATTTTTTCGAGAAAACAGATGTTAAATATAAAAGACAACACCTTGAGATCCATTTAAACTGTTTGTTAATATCATCTTATTATTATGAATATGTAAATAACCATGACTTCGTATGCTTAAAGTTACTTCAGGTGGATCTCTATCAGATCATTTAACCATCTTTTTATTTTTATTTTTCTTGAGAAAAAAGATTCAAAAGCATGAATTGTTTTTTTAAATTAAATATAAACACCTTAAAATGCTCAACTTTTCATTCTCATCTAAACAAATCCATATAAATGGCTTATATAAAGATGAGAAAGTATTCCATACATGCTGGGTTTAATGCATGGGGATCAAAGAAATGATTTTATGTTTATTTTCTTTGGGAGTTGAACTTTATTCCATTCCTACTCTTGTCACAACAAAGCTGTCATTCCTCGGACTAGTAAATATGATGCCATAGAATATATTATATTATTCTTGCTCTAAGGTGCATATCATAGACTTGGGACTGTTTGAGATCACTTTTGTTTTTTTATTTTGATTTTATTTTATCTATGTTATAATTTGAAATAAAATATATTTGACTGTTTGATTAATGTATGATTGTTTTTAAAAACACTCGAACAACGACAAATTGTTTTAAGTATTTTCAAAAACAAGTTAATTTACTTTTAGAAACAAAAATTTAAATATGTAAAAAATAAGCTTAACAAATATGTTTTCAAAATCAAAAGAAAAAATAAAAAACAAAATTGATAAAAAAAAAGTCCTTAGAGAATTGCCTATTTTAAAGGATACCATTTCATTCATGCCAAACCGTATATTTGTTATTTTTTTGCTTAAACTTTCTTCACTCTTTTTTGTGTTTTTTTAATGATGCATATTTATCATAATATCATCTTCAGAATGCATAGACAACCAGAACATGTAATGATGTTCTTACTTGCTGAAATGGGAACTAGTGGATCGCTCGACGGGCAACAAAGATTGGTTGTAAAGGGAAGGTTTATTCCCAAAAATTTTGAGGGTATCTTAAGAAGATATGTTAGTAAGTTCACTCTCTCATTCTAGATTCTTTTACTTTGAAGTTATTATACGATCAAATTAGTGTTATCAAAGCGCAAAACACAATGCTATGCATAAGACTTTAATTTTCGAAGTGACATTTTTTAATCAAAGCGCTAATAGGTTATAAAAAACTATTAATGTATAAATTCATTCATTAACAATTATAAAATATATAGTATGACTTAAAAGTTGATTACAAATAGAAAAAAAAATGTGGTACAATACATAACTTGAAGCAAAAATTGAGAGTAAACTTGCAAGTTAAAATTTTGAACAATTTCTAATAGTTTATTGCAAGAATTAAAATTAAAAATTTAAAAATTGCAATTGCAAAAAAAAAAAAAAACTTACAAATTAACTTTGAATGCTTTGAAGTGTTCTCAGCAAGGCGAAGCCGGCATCACGTACTTCGCTTCACTTTGCTTATGAAGTGTGCTTTTAAAAATATTGAATTAAATATATAACTTTTACTTGGTTAGTTGAATGCTTCATTTCTTGCCACTGTGAAATGTTAGGCTTTTTCTTTTCCAATTGATTTTTTATTGCTTAAAGAAATTTACAATAGTAAATTTTTAAGGGAGATTTACAAATATACCACACAAATCTTATTTATTTACATATTTAACACCCAAGGTTTGATATTTACACTATGGCACCTTGATATCATACACCTATGCATGAAAAGGTGTATTTCACTTTTAAGAATGTAGTGGTGGTGGTATGTTGATGTGATGTTAATGATTTTTTGTGATATTCAAGTAAATGTGAATGTTTAGATGTTAGATATGTAAAGACATAATAATTGTGTGGTATGTATGTAAATGACCCTTTTGTTAATTGTTCTAATATCTTACTTTTTCTTATGTGAACCTTGATTTTGTCGTGTTTGCGTGCAAGTGACATAGTATGGATACTATTATCATCAATAGATTATTGAATGCAAGCTCGCTTCTCTACTACTGTGTTGCGTGGTTTTTCGTTAAATTTCTTCCTATGGTGAAATAAGATGCAAATGAACATTCTGTGTTTTTAATTTTTTTTCTTAATTAATGTCATGTTAGTAATTAATTGATTCTCAACAATTTTTCAGTTTTAGTTTCAATTTTAAACATGGCTATGATGATCGCTAACAAGCTGGGTTGTGTTCTCCCTCAAGTTTTGTTCAGCTTTTTGTGATGGTTGGTTCGGGCTTATGGCTTGTTCTCTATTTTGTTGTTTGTTGATCCAGTTGATGCTAGGTGTGAACGATCCAATTTCGAGCCAATCTTGGGCCAACTCGAAATCGGATCGAAATATTTTTGAACAGATCGAAATCGGATCGTGGATCGATCCGTAAATTTAGCTCCGATCCAATGTGAATCAATCCGATTTTCGAGCCGGCTCGAATGCATTTTTGGCTCGTGGGCCAGATCAGTCCGCCTCGAACCCTCTTTGGCATACCCGACCAACCCACCAGAAAAAAAAAAAAAAGTATTTTTTTTTGAAAAGAGGGGACTTGAACGTGAACTGTCGTAAAATTTGCTAAGTACCTTTGTCTCTTAATTTTTAGCTTATGAGCGCTTTTGATTTTTAATTATCTTTTCCTGACTTTATTCTTTTTACATTTGATTATTTTTTTTTTGGCTTTAAATAGCTGAAAGTTTCTTTTAGTGTACATCGTAATATTTGCTAAGAAATATCACCTCATGTAGATTATATTTGACAAATTAAATGACTATTCTATGCTCATAATATATGCATTTGTGATGAATAAATTATGAGCACTCCACCACTTTGTTTTTCCTTTTATGCTTTAAAGCAAAAATAAATCCTTGTGTTATCACCTTGCACTTCGCACTTTAAAACATTATTGATCAGGAATGGGACTCTTATTAAAGATATATATTTTTTTTAACTGACGGATTCTATTATTATAAGTAGGGTTATCAGAGACATGTAAATGGGCTTCTATTTTCTATTCCACTTTGATTCAATAAACATCTAGTTGGGTGGAATTCTTCGAAACCATTTAAATTTTAGAAGCCATCTCTTTGAACCAACATGCAGTCTAGTACTTCTGGTTGGTGATCACTTTTTTTTTTTGTTCTTATTTTCTTATTTTGTGATAATTTGTCTGATTGAACTTGGTCAACTTTTGTGCTATCTATTATTTTTTTCAATTGCGGCGTGAGTCCCAAACAAATGTGATTTTGTTATGATTATAAATTTTTATACGAGATTTTTACTATATGCTACTCTTAGGTTATCATATGCATAACGTTTTACTTGTACTTGGTTTTTTATCTGACGTGGAAAATAGCTGTTTAAATCAGAAGTTAGTGACCAAATTTTACCTTTTGTGTGATTTTATGCATCTCATCGTATGCATTCATTAAGAATCCTAGATTGTAAGATGCATGCATCAAAAAGCCTTTTGCTATGAATAGTTCTGCATTGATTAACGTAGCTTTGTCATGATTCTATAAGATTTGGAAAGCAGCTGGAAAGACAACTATTCGTTATTGAATTCAATTTTTAGTATTAGCCATAGAATTTTAGTTTGATTTATTGGAGGCCATTACAGGTAGCAATTGGTTAAGTTAGCTGCAGGGTAAGGACTCAAATAGCCAGTCAAAATGTATGTGCAGCATTCACAATTTTCTTAATTGGTTTTAGATTAAAAAATTGTTGCTATTTCTGCTGTCATTCTGAAGGATATTTGAACTGAAACAATTATTTTTTTCTTTCACTAATGCGATTGCAGTTTTTCATTTGCTTTTTCCTTTTTAGGTTTATATTGATTTTGGCAATAAAGCCTGTTCCTGGAATTACTTGGTCCTAGGGAAAGTTGGGGACAAAAAGTTTTCTAAAAACAAGTTTTTATGAACTATACAAATTTTTACTCATTACATGACACTTTTTAGTTGTTATCTTGATCCCATAGAAGTACTGATTTTGTGGCATCCTCTAAAAGATAATCTCATGGCATGAATTGAAAATGCCTGTACTGTTTGATAAGAAGAGTTGAATACTTAGTACTTTTATTAGATAATGTCATGTTTTAATGTGAGAGGAGCTTTTTTTTGCGCTACCTTGCTACATTCATTGTATTCATGCATTCATGGCATGAATTGAAAATGCCTGTACTGTTTGATAAGAAGAGTTGAATACTTAGTACTTTTATTAGATAATGTCATGTTTTAATGTGAGAGGAGCTTTTTTTTGCGCTACCTTGCTACATTCATTGTATTCATGTATTTTAATGCATGCACAACCATTGGTGTTATTCTAGTTTGACGAGGTCACGTTACTGCTTGTCCTTCTAAAAGCAAATTTGAACTGTTGGCTTGCGGTCTTCCTAGACCTCGTTAACTTTTTGGCTGATTTCTCGCATGAAAATAATAATAAACTTTTGTGATGTAAAATGAACTTTTAAATGGGGTGCGAATACAAGTAAATGCACTCCATTGATGGGGCTGAGTTAACAGTATTGGTTTTGCTTCAAACCTTTTCTTGAACTCATGTTCTTAATGCCAATCATTCAAAGACTGACAATCCTAATAGCCTAACCCCACCTTCGTCTTCTATAATTTCATTTTTGTTGTTCATACATCGAGCTGAACCTGATGAGTGGTTAGGACTGCTAGGTGCCCCACTTTATATGCATCATTAGGTGAAATTCAAATACAAATCAATTTTAAATTCTTGAGTTTTTAAAAAATCAAAATTGTGCAACTAGGTTTTTTATCAAAAAAATAGAAGGATAATTTATTTTTATCTTTTATCCTAAAAACAACCTATTCAAATTTTGTGTTTATCCTCATAAATTATTGAGTTAAGATCCTATAAGAAATACATTTACAATGGTCAATATTTTTGTTTAAATATCATTGCGAAGCTGTTGAATCATACTTGGGTTGTGTGAGAGTCAAGTCAACTCAGTGGAATAAATAAATTTCCTCTTTTTTCGCATGCTAAGCTGAAAAGTTCTTACTTATTTGCACCTTTTGTATATAAAGATCGTTTATTATCAGATGCTTCAGACATTTATTTCCATCATTTACAGATGAATATGTTATATGCAATGGATGCAAAAGTCCAGACACGATACTGTCTAAAGAGAATCGTTTGTTCTTTCTGCGTTGTGAGCAGGTAATCCTTTGCTGTTTACATAATTTTTTTTAAATTTGAAGCGTGAAAATTGTTCTTTCAGCCCATGCTAAGCATTAGACCTTCCGTTTATTGTTTATTAGTTATTATCTTATATTTTTTATTTTTATTTTCTAGCTGCTCCGTACATTAGGCAGGTTTATGTGCAGTTTGAGAATGGAGCTTAGCAGTGGAGCTAGGCTTTCTAATATGTGAACTTTGATAGGCCTAAAGTTTTGTGTATTTTATTTTAGGGGCATGTACACAAAGCCCACAATTTTTATGTATTTACATGTCCCACACCTAAACTTTCATATTCAACCACAATGCTGAAATCCTTAATATTACATAAAATACAGCACTATTATCACATTTTCATAGGTTTAAATCACCAAAGTGCTATACATATAAGTATAAAAGTTTAAGCCTGAGATATGTAAATGCATAAGAAATTGTGTGCAATGTATGTAAGTTTTCCTTTATTTTAATAATCATCTTGAGGTTTATTGATGGATGTTAATATTCATTGGTCATGTGATACCTTTTTTTTCCATATACTTTGGACTTAACTAAATGAATACTTTAGATCAAACGTGAGTTATAATCGATTATGGTAGATTTCTTGACTATAAATTAAGTTGAGCATCACCATTTAATATTCTATTTTAAAATTAATTATGGCTGAGGGTGGCTAGAAGTTATATAAAAGGACTTGGTCAATCTGAAGTTACATTTCATTCCAGCAGGAGTAAATATTTATTCAGGATATAAGTTTTGTAAGTTGAAATGTAATAGATTAATTCAGTTTTCAGTTCGTAAATTGCAATCCAATTTCACTGTTCAATAAACAGGGAAACAAAGCTTTTAGGGGACAAGAAAATTAGCGGGCAAATTTTAAATGGAAGCTTCTTACAATATTTTTCTGAAGTAACCTCAATTTAGTTATAATTTAGGGAGCTAAATGGCAGGTTTAACAGATGATTTTGCTCAAACCAATAATTAACTCTGTTTGACAAATGTCAATGTGGAATTTAGGAGGAGCTTCCTTAGGGGAAAAGTACTAGTTTTCTCATTAAATTTATACAAGCAAAAAACAAAAACAAATATATACAACTCAGATTAACCCTCATACAATTGGAGGGAAAATTCAAATCATCATGATAAAAATGAAAGAAATAAAACGTAATAATAGAAAATTAAATGGAGGATAATTTCTCCCCTCAAATGTAGGAGCGGTCCCACGGTTTCCTTAAGCGTGGGTGGGCCCATGTGGTCCATGGATATGCATATCAATACTCCCCCCTTAAGTTGGGTTGTATATGTCATAAATCCCTAACTTGCTACCTAGTTCACTAAAGTGGTGCCGAGGAAGAGCTTTGATAACAATGCCAACAATTAGATACTGAGTTGGGATATAGCTTAGTTGGATAACCCCTCTCTATGTTTGGTTTGATCATAGTGTACTAGTTTCTTTAAAATACTGATGGCTGATTGACTATCACTAAACATCTTAATAGCGCCTTTGTTCTCCGTGTGTAGTTCCACCAGTAATTTCTTTAGTCACATTCCTTCACAAATTCCTACGTTGCGGGTAAGATACTTAGATTCTGCACTACTTCTTGTCACAACAGTTTGCTTTTTTATTTTTTCATGTAACCAGATTACCTCCATACATATGAAAAGCAACCCGTGGTAGATCTTCTTCTGGGTCAATTCTCCTACCTAACTAGTAATTGTGTACATCTAAATGCTACAGTTCTTAGTTTTCTTGAATATCAATCCACATTTGGGAGTCATCTTTAAATATCTCAGAATTCGAAAGAGTGCTTCTAAATGATCTTCATTTGTTATATTTATATGTTGGCTCACTACACCTACATAAAAAGCAATGCCAGGTCTTGTATGCGGCGGATTAATATGTTTTCCTACAAGTCTTTGATCCCTTCTTTTTTCAATTGGGTTGTTATCCTTTCCTTTTGATGCTCATCGATTGGAATTCATATGAGTATCTGTTGATTTGCACTCCAACATTCCTGTCTCATTTAATAAGTCAAATATATATTTTCTTTGGGATATGACAATACCTTCTTTTGACTTAGCTACTTCCATTCAAAGGAAGTACTTTAAAGTCTAAGATTTTTTATCTCAAACTTCAAATTCATTATTCTTTTGATTGTTTCAAGCTTCCTTACGTCATTACCTATAAGAATAATGTCATCTATATATAAATAAGGATGACTATCATATATTCTTGATTTGTTTTCCTAAACAAAGTGTGATTAACCTTGCACTGATACTACCCATTGACAATAATAGGCTTGGTGAAGCTTTCAAGTCATGCTATGAGAGATTATTTCAACCGCTACAATGATTTCCTTAGTTTGCATACTATGTGATTATTTGTGTTGTTTTTTTAATATAGGAGGTATCTGTGTATACACCTATTTCTCATGATCCCCATTAAGAAATGCATTTTTATTTTCTAGCTTATGTAAATGCCAGTCCTGATTGACATCCAATGACAGTAATAGTCTTACTGTGTTGATTTTCTCCACTGATATAATTATCTTCTGATAGTCGATCCCATAGGACTGAGTGAACTATTTTGCTACAACTCTAGTCTTGAACTATTCTATGCTCTCATATGCTTTGTATTTAACACTAAATACCCATTTGCACCCTACAGTTCTTTTCCCAGATGGTAGAGTTGTTATGATCCAAGTATCATTCTTTTCAAAGGGCATGAATCTCCTCTTCCACAACTTTTTTTCAAGCAGAAATAGATAAGACTTTTTGGATTGAATTTGGGACATACATTTTATCCAAATTCTAAACAAAAGATTTTAATAGGATGATAATTTTCTATAGGTCACAAATTCTTCTATCAAGTGTTTTGTCCATTCTTATGCTCCTTCTTCCTCTTGGTTCCATGATGTGTTCACCCAACATTTGTGTCACTACTTGAGGTGTGTGGATTTGGTTCCGGTGATTTGCAATCTGCATTTTGCATATTGTATCTTACATTTTCATTGGGTTGTTTTCTTTTTGGTGCACACATAAAGTTCTTGGTTTGTAATGGGAGTTCTGGTAGGATTTAGTGTAGTAGGTTCATTTTTAGGTTGATTTGTGATAGTGGATACAAGAATGAGTTCATTAAGGATATAAGGTAGGTGAGGTGTTGTTATGAATGGTGCTATTTTTGGATAGATAGGGTCGAGAGTGGAGTTGTAGTAGTCTTTTACATTATCACTTTTGAGAATCTGAATTTTTGTTTGAAATTCAGTGAGAATCATGTTGTGAAAGGTTTCAAATATGCTCACACTTTCAGATTTTTCCTTCATGAGAAATGTCAAAGTGATTTTGGTATGATCATCAATGAAAGTAACAAGCCACATAGCCCCATTTGAATTTTTTTATTTTTGAGAGCTCCCAGATATCACTATGAACCATGAAGAATGAATGCGTTGGTTTGTATTTAGACTTGGGTACACTTTTCGAGTACGTTTAGCAAGTTGACAAGTTTCATACTAATAAGAACTAGGTTTTTTGTTTATAAACTATTGATATGCACACGGTTTCGAAATATGTGGGTCCACTATTACATTTGAGGGGAGTACTTATACCCCCTTAATTATTCATTATTTTGTTTTATTTCTTTCTTTTTATCATAATGATCTAAATTTCTCTCTAATTGTAAGAGAGTTAGTCTGAGCTATATATATATATATATATATATATATATAGATTAGAGAGTTGATTCTCCCAAAAAACTATAGGGGTAAAATAACCCTAGCTCTCCTTCGCCGGAGCCCATTCCTACAACCATTAGTCCCTGCAGACCTCTGCAAGATCTTCACCTTGCGACCATATCTTTGCAGGCGTCACTGTTATCATCTCCCTGCATGCCCTCACCATATCCTTGCAGCCAACTCCTTTCAGCCTTCTCCCAACAGGTGTGGATCATCAAATCTCTATCCTGTAAACTTGACTTCATACTGCGATCCTGTCGTTGGGTGCAACATGCAGGCATGGCTCTACAGATCGCGATCCTACAGGCGCGACTTCAAACTGTCATCTCGCTTTAGCTGGAACATGCAGGTGTAGCTTGAAATTGCGATCTCGTCGCTGGCTAGAACACGAACTGCCAGATTGATTCTCTCTCCAATGGAAATCACTATTCTGCAGGTGTTCTATTTGGTTTGGCTCTCTCTAGTGGTTCACTCTCTAGTGGAAATCCAAGATCTGTGAGAACATCTTTTATGTCCACTTTCCTAGCTTCTCTCTAGTTGAAATCTTGTGCCACTTATAGAGAGTTTCTCTCTCCAACACAATTTATGTGCAGGCAACATACATTTTTTCTCTCTGGTGAAATTCTTGTGCTGGCGACGGGCAATTTCTCTCTGTGGTGAAAATTTGTGTCCTCCAACAGACAATTTCTCCCTGACGAAAGTACTTCTTACCGACATTTTATCACAAACAAATACAACATGAAAGCTACTTCTTCCTCTTCATATGTTATTTCTGAACCTATGATGTTTGGTTCTGCAACATCTGAAATCTCCTTCTGCATCACCAAGCACAGTATACGACAACAATTTTCTCCAATGGTCTCAATCTGTATTCATGTACATCTATGATAGAAACTCACCAAAAAAAAATCCTATATAAAAAATTACTGATTCTAAATATTGGACATGGAAGATTGAAAATCACAAGGCTTGTCAACTCGATGACCACAAAAATTGGAGAAATTTCCTCTTGTACCAAACTACGAAGAAATCTAGGATGTTGTAGGGGAAACCTATTCAAGTGTTGACAATACCTCTGAGTTGTTTGACATTAAAACTAGCTTACATGACCTGTGATAGAGTGAGTTGAATGTTACTCAATACTTTAACACTACAAATATTGACTCAAACTAGATTTGTATGAAATATACACTTGGAGGCGCTCATAAAACTCTGCTCTTTACAAAATAATTTTTGAACATATGAGAACCATCA